GCTTCTCCTTCCCAGCTGCTTTTAGTGGGGCCCAACAGGCAAAGCCCCCCATAGTCTGCTTTTTAAAAGTTAGCTGTCTAGGTCGAGGTTGTTATCGCAAACATAAATGCTTTATAATGGCAGATTTGCCTCAAAGGTATGCAGAGCAGTTGCCATGAGCAACGCAGAAACTGAGCCCTGAACTGAAATGAGTGTTTGCTATTAAACTTTGCAGATTGTGCTTAAGAAATGATTGTCAAGCTCCGTGTCCCTGCCGAGATCGGGCTTGTGTCAGTGTTGTGTGCTTTGACCTGGGTCTGAGGAAATCTCTGGAGCCAGTGCTTTAGCTCTGATTCTGCAAGCGTAGTAGGGGTGGGGGAGGAGCAGCCCACTTTCTATCAGATAATGTGGCCATGATTCCAGGGTCCCCATCCCCCATGTTTGGGAATCCAGTCAGATTGCTTAGTGCCGAGGAGCATCGGGTATTTGTCTAGGCTCTCAATTGATAGGGATCAATCTTTCTCCTTCCCTTTCTCTGTCCTCACTGATCTTTATTAGCCCAGACAACTACCCAGTTTCTCTTCAAGCCTGCCTTTGTCACAGCACGTTGTTCCCGTTGGTGGGTGCGTGCCTCCCCACAGGCTGGCTGTCCCTTCCATGGTCCCTCCGACTCCTTTGGCGCTGAGCAGCTCAAGCAGGCGAGCGCTGTATGTAGGTGAGCAAGTGGGTGAGGGTCTCACGCCAGGACGGGCCTCTCTCCCTGCTCATGCTCTTCACAAGAAGTGTTTCTTTAACTCGAATTTGGCATTGCCACCTTCACAGAACCGAAAGCTGTTCAGGAAGAGCCCTGGGGTGGATTTTACAGGAAGACTCCACCTTCCCCAGCCTGGTTTTGTTCTCCTGCTGCAGTCTGACAAGTAAATGAGTCCTGGACGTCGATACTGCAGCTCCCTCTAGTGTCACCGTGGCCCAGGCTCAATAGCAGATTTCTTCCCTTTCAGGAGATGTGGACAGCAGACAATGCCCAAATTGGCAGCATTTTAAGTAGATTTTCCCATGTTGTCTAAATAAGTGAGGCAGTTTTCTCCCATTAGAAAAGGGACTTTCACGTGAAGATATGGAACCATTCCAGCTCCAGTTTACTCCTTTCTAAAACGCTAGGGGCCCAGATCATGTGGAAATCATCCTTCTGGGGGAGTGCAATCTTTATGAGATTCCCCAGTTCAAGCCGGCTACTCTTTATAAGAAAAGAATGTGGATTCCTTTCTCAAGAGATAAATGAAAATAAGGCCAACAGGAAGTTGCTTTGATCCCTTGTAGAGGAAAGGGGAAAAGGAGGGGGGAATGGCAGAAAGAACCCTGTCCATCTGTACTGTAAAGTGTATCTTATTTTCTGAAATAACTTTTTCAGTAGAAATGTATCATCTGAAATCAGATCAATTTGAGTTTTTCTATAAACAAAAGGAGTCAAGTTATTAATATTTGAAAAATGGCTACGATGCAGTGCATAAAATAATGTAATACTCCTACCTAAATTAACATCATCGTGGGCTTCATAATAAAGATTTATGAGATACCTGTCATGTGAGATCCTATTATGGAAATCTCCATAGGCTGTGTTTGGGTTGTAACTATAATATTTGCATGGTTATGAACCAATTAAAATGCCTCGTGTTCCCCCTTCTTTTATACCCCGTCTTCCTTTAGATGAGAGCGACTCCTTACTCCTCAGCCTGTCTGTGTATTATAAAATGGGGAGATAAGGAGGTGCCGTCCTCCAGCCGGCTATCTCGGCAGACCGTTTTCCTTCGGAGCATCCAAGATGGTGGAACAATTCATCATTTCTTCTCCGCAAATCACTTGCACCCTTTATCTCAAGTCGATCTGTGAAGCCAAACATAAATTCCCGTTGTCGTGTCCATGTTCTTATCTACCCACAGAGCTCCGGGAGACCTTATGAAATGCGTGTGTCTGTATGCCTACCATCCGAATATCATAATTAGAATATCTTCTCTGCTTCTAATGTTAAATGACTACAGGGCCGGAGGGTTCTTTCGGTGTTCCTTTGCATAGTGAAGACCACAGGCTTGGTCAAATACTCTCTCCTAGTCTTAAACCAGCCTACGTTGGAGCAGAGCAGGCTGGGGTCTTAGGTTGTTTGTCAAGGTGTTGAACTTCAGCAGTCACTGTTCAGCCACCTTTAATCACACCCCATGATCAGAAGGCTTCTGCTGTGGCGAATGGCTCGCAGGACTCGGCAAGACATATTTTTCTGTTTTGTTCTCTTTGTTTAAATAAAAGAAAAGGACTCTAAGATTGCGTCGCTTTTACCAGTTTCCAGTTTAGTCATGGTCAGTGGTACATTTACACAGCTTCATGGTTTACAGGTGTAGTCCATGTACTTGGTGCCATGTCATCCTCCCAACTGCCCTGGAAGTCGGTCTCCGTTTATATCATCTCCTTCATCAGGGAGACTGAGACCCAGAGGAAGTAAGTGAAATACCGTAGGTTACGCAGCTAGTGGCAGGGCCAAGTCCTACGCCTCCCGGTCTGGTGAGTGTCTTTACCAGAACGTCTGATTCAGTTAAAAGCAGTAATATTTGATAGACTTTTCAAAGACTAAGGAGTGGGGACCCTGGCACTTTCATTCCAGAAGACAGTGTGGTCTTGAGCAGATTACTAACACTGGCAGTGGGACTCGTGGTGCCACGTGCTAGATCCAGCCTCTGTGTGGCTACATGTTGCCAGGTAGGATTTTTAAATACCTGGTGACACATAAATATGCAGTATTGCTAACAATACAAAATAGGAAGAATTCGTGTTATGACTGATCAAGTATTACATATTATACCGCATGTGCTAAAACGTTCAGAACTTTCCAAAGATGTTTTCTCAAGATATAACTTTGAACTTGAACTCAGCCTGGGAATGTTTGTTTCAAGACCAAGAGTTTGCTTATAAAATCGATGTTGGGGCCAGTAGGTATAGTAGTTAAAGTGCTGGACTCCCTCGTGGCTGACTACGGCTTGAGTCCTAGATCCGGTGGCTTGAAACTCACACTGGGCATGTGTGCACACAGGCCCGAAATCCTGAGAGGAGAAGGGATTCCGATGTGGCCATCCCCCATGGGAGGTGATTTCTTGCTTTCTGTCTCTCTGGCAAGCGCATGTGTCCCATAGCAGAAATCTCTCCCAAAAAAATAATAAGTAAATATTTTCTGTACTCTCAATTGACTAGGTAAACAGTAAAGACTTGAAGGAAGAAAAAAAAAAGAGAGAGAGAGAGACTTGAATGAAATTGTTTTCCTATCTCTCTCAGATAAATAGGTAAATAGACTGATAGAATCTTGATAGAACGTGCAGGCATGCTTACTCTGTGGTGGTGATCACTGGCAGCAGGTCTCCTTAACTCTGATAAATACAGTACGAGGCAGGTGCTCTTCCCCTGACACTCCCTTGCCTCTGGTTATCTATATAATATATACACGGAGAGAGAGACGCACACATGCGCACACACACAGATGTATTTGAGCAGGAATCAGAGTGCGCTGTTTCTCAAATCGGGTGACTTGTCTGCATCCTCCTAAGAAAATGTACCATTTGTCTTTTTAAATAAAAATGACTAGAAAACGTTCTTATAAAAATGTGTTTCTTTTTTGTGTCACTATAATAAACAGGCAACGTAAACCCGCACGAAGAATGCCTGTTGCTAGGAGATACTCCATAGCCGTGAAATATGGCGGCGTCCTCCCACCCGGGAGGAAGAGTAGGGAGTGCCTTCCGTAGTGAACAGGCCATGGAGGGGATTCCTGACCAGGCTCTTGTGAGCTATGAACTATTGCTAGAGACCGAGTCTTCCGGTGCCAGCCTCTCTTTATGATGAGGACAATGCGCACGGGGTGATTTTACTTACATTTTGTTTGTGTCACCCTTCAAGACTAGAATTACAATCGTTGCTAGAGTATGTAGAACTCTTGGCTAATATTTTTTATCAAAACGCTTCCTCAGTCCACATCCACTTGGTAAAGTTCTTTTTGAAAGGTCTTATTGCCTAAATATTGGGCTTTAAATGAGGCCTGTCAAGAGAAAGCATAAAACTCAGGAAACCGCCAGTGAAGTGTTGGTTTTGCTCTGAGTAGGCCGGGCCAGTGATTCTCTCAGCCGTTTTCCCACCCTGCCAGTGAGCCGAGGGCCAGAGTTGGGACTGTCACACTGACACTTGAGAAGCTAAGAAAACCCGCAGTTTACCTGGCCAGTTGTGTGCCCCTCTCCTGGTCTCCTGATCGGTGAGAAGTGGACACCAAGGGTGATAGGTAATGGAAAAGGTATTCTAGCCTGCTTTATGAGCGAGTGATTGGCCTTCTGTGTAAGTGTGGGCTGAAAACCTCTAAGAAAGATCAAAAAAAATTTTTTTTTTTAATTTATTTCTTCCATGAGAGAGAGAGGGAAGAAGAAAGAGAGGAGAGATAGGGGTGGGCACCTCCAACACGGTCTTCACACTGCCCCCCCTCCCCCACAGGCGGCCAGCATCGCAGGAACCATGTGCATACCAGCGTGCACAGGGGAGCCTCAGGGCGCAAGCCCAGGGCCTTCCTGCATGGCCTCAGCACCGCAGCGCGTTGTGTCATGCTGCCCTGGCTTAGCTGGCCTGTTCTGTTTTCTGGAAGAGCCATGAGGTACAATAGAAAGCATAAGCTTTGGCATTAGACAGACAGGATCGCTAACTGGGCCCTGGGCTTTAGTTCCTCAGTTCTTAGGTCACCAGCCTACATTGACATTAGTATGAGGACCAGAGTAGGAGGCAGAAAGCGGTGAGTGCAGCGGCGAGTGGGCAGACAGCTCTGAGCGGTTCCCAGCCCTGCTGCCGTCACTCAGCACGGTGCCCTCAAGCCGCCTCTCAAGACTTCACTATACCATTGTCTGTTCCTTCCCAGTCACCTTCCAGTAAATCCTCCTCCGTGTGTCACAGCCTGCTTATGAAGGTGGGAATTTGAGATTGTGTTATTTGCTTTCTTCTTTCAGATATGTAAGAGCAAAGCTAAAGAATCTCAGCAGTACTATCACAGCTTGGCTGTCCGGCAGAGTCTGGCTGTCCATTTTAACATCCAGCAGGACTGTGGTCACTTCCTTGCTGAAGTCCCTAGCCGTCTGCTTCCCTGGGAGGATCCGGATGCCCCTGAAAAAGAAGAGGATGAAACGGAAGAGAGTGAAGGAGAGGCGAAAGGAGACACCGATAGGAAAAACCCAGACTCCTGCTCCGAAGCAGAGTCATCCAAGAAAGAGAGCCAGGGAGTCGTGAGCCGGAAGCAGAGGAGCCATGTCGTGGTCATCACCAGAGAGGTCCCCTATCTCACCGTGGCTGACTTCGTGCGAGCCTCTCTGGCCCAGCATGGGAAGAGCCCCGATTTGTACGAGAGACAAGTGTGCCTGCTGCTTTTACAGCTGTGCTCCGGCCTGGAGCACCTCAAACCCTACCATGTCACCCACTGCGACCTCCGCCTGGAGAACCTGCTGCTTGTCCACTACCAGCCCGGCGCAGCCACTGTGGGCCTTAGGCCTGTGGAGCTCAGCCCCGCCGCGTCTTGCCCCAACAGGCTTATAGTGAGCAACTTCTCTCAGGCCAAGCAGAAGAGCCACCTGGTGGACCCCGAGATCCTCCGGGACCAATCGCGCCTCGCTCCAGAGATCATCACTGCTACCCAGTATAGAAAGTGTGACGAGTTCCAGACAGGCATCCTCATCTACGAGATGCTGCACCTGCCCAACCCCTTCGACGAGAACCCAGAGCTCAAGGAGAAGGAGTACACGCGCACAGACCTGCCCCGCATCCCGCTCCGCTCCCCCTACTCCCGGGGCCTGCAGCAGCTGGCCAGCTGCCTCCTGAACCCCAACCCCTCCGAGCGGATCCTCATTTCAGATGCTAAAGGCATCCTCCAGTGTCTGCTGTGGGGCCCCCGCGAAGATCTCGTCCAGACCCTCACCGCCTCCCCTAGCCTGGTGCAGAGGAACGCCCTGCTCCAGAACTGGCTGGACATCAAGCGAACGCTGCTGATGATCAAGTTTGCCGAGAAGTCCCTGGACAGGGAGGGCGGGGTGAGCCTTGAGGACTGGCTCTGTGCTCAGTACTTGGCTTTTGCCACCACAGACTCCCTGGGTTGTATTGTGAAAATCCTGCAGCACCGTTAGTGCGTCCCGGATGCTGCCTCTACTGCATTCTCACCTTCTGTCGCCCGCATACTTCCCCTCCCTAGTATTACACACAGTTCCAGGAAAGAGACAGGACAGACCTTCCGTCCCTCTCCATGAACAGATGAATCCGTTCAGAAAGGTTACCCACAGCTCCAAGTCAAGCGAGAAGCCGAGCCTGTCTCGACCGCACAGAAATTCAGCCGCATAAATGTACACTTGCCTTCCCTCAGAACACCTTCCATGCTGGTAGTCCCCAGAGAGAGGGAAAAGGCATGTCCCCGAAGGGACAGCTCCTTTGGTGTGTGCGCAGTGAGCTGTGTCCGGGTCCTCCATAATTCTAAATGCCACCCATCCTTTTAAGCACCCAGTATTTATTCCACTAGCAATAGACAGACTTAGCCCATCCGTGGTCATCAGTAAGCTCTCACAACAGACGTCCTTCCTTCAAAGTATCAGTAACTGACTCTTCCACCAGACAGATCTGCCATCCTCGTGTCAGCCCAGTCACGAGGATCTCTAGCTTTGTTCCAGCAGATCGTAGAAAGGAAAGGAGACGCCTCGTCCCTTGGGCCGAGACCCGTTTTCATTTCTCTTGTGGATAAGTGTGGGCGCTGCATGGAGGGCGACCCTCATAGTCTCCCCTCAACTGCCACTGCCTGATTCTCCTTCACCTCTGCTTTATCCCCACTCGCCAGTGAAGTTCAGGTTCGTCTGCCACTTGTGGCCCATCACAGAGTTGTCCCGAGGTGGCGTCTCTAGTGCCTAAGGGGGTGGGTGCAGGTCAGAGCTTGTGAGGAGCTGCAGGACACGAGGCGGTGATTTTCTTCATGTGCAATTCTCTGGGGGCCATCAGGGAACGGAGTTTAAAGTCCCGTCCTTTGATTACTGGCAGAGCTGCCAGTGTTGGCAGCCAGGGCTGGCAGTGCCCAGATCAGTTTTCCCCCAAGCAGTCGTTGGCCAGATTCCCTCTCTCAGTAGCCAGTGTTAACCAGTCTACCAAATGCTGTAGACACAGCCCTGAGTGAAGAGCTGTCAGTCAGGCTCTAAGATCTCCTTAGAGAGAGGGCACAGCGAGGCCAGCTGTTGGGGTGGCCTGGAGGCAGGGGACGGGGGAGGGGAGGGGGAGGAGGCCTCTGACAAGCCTGCTGGCCTCCTGAGAGAGCTACCTTCTGCAGAGACCGCCTCCCCGTATACGTGTTACCTCACTCCTTGTGGCTCAGACGTGGCTCACGGGCACAGTGATGGCTGAGGTGGTTGCCGGGGCTGTTCACTGTGTGTGGGGCCCATGCCCCTCTCCTATGGATATATGTGCAATTCTTATGTGTGTTTTTAGTTGTATATTACAGTGTTTATGTTGCAACTTCACCTGAAGCGAGATCTACAGAAACCCTCCCCTTCTTCCCTTGGCACATATTTGCGCTAAGAGACGAGTATTCCTTCTACCAGGTGTGTGTGTGTGTGTGTATGTGTATGCACATGTGTGCGTGCGTGCGTGCGTGTATGCACTTGTTTTATTCAAAACTGTGAGTATCTGTTTACTGCAACCTTGAAATCCCGAGTCGCTCGAACAGGGTGAGTGTGTATACACGTGTGTGCCTGTGTGTACATGCACATACATGCTGGAAGTAGAGGCCAGGCTTCTGGGGGGCAGCCTGTGGTAGGGTTGACAAACATGTTGACATGTTCTCTGCCCCTAGTAGGTGAGGGAGCCTGGGGCCCTCACCCACCAGCGCAGAGTTCTCGTAAAGCCAAGACTGACTGTGCAGTATTGCTTAGATAGCACATTAGTGGCCTTGGACATTTCTCAACTTGTAACATTTTTAACAGCCTTTCATGTGATTCACCTGTTTCAAAAAGGATCAAGAAAGGAGAAGAATGTATTTTATTGTGCTTTTTTTTCTTTCTTTCTTTCTTTTTTTAAAGGCTCCATATGGAGGCTGTCTGTGTCCTCCTGGCCAGCAGTTCAGGACTTCCAAGAAAAACGGGCTGGTTGGCCCGCGGAGTCCTGTCTCCTCTAGCCAGAGTGCAGGGCTCTGCCCCCGGGACTGCCCATGGAGTGGGCACGCCACCGCGGGCCAGCAAGCCACTATTGTGGTGCCCTGTGGCCTGGCTGCACCCTGCCTGGCAGGCTGCCATTCGCTTCGTCTTAACATCACCCTGTGCACATAACTGCTCGCCTCATTCTGCACTGAAGTGGCAACACACAGATCCCAGACCATGTTGGCCAGCACACCCCCACCCCACGGCTTGCGTATTGAGACACACCTTCTCAATGTTGCTCTCGCGTGCCTTGCCCATGTAAATTTGAATGTCGATATTTAATGAGGTTACATATTTAATGCAGAATGTTCCCTAGGCCTTCTTTGTTATGCCTTTAGGTATTCTCTCTCTCTCTCTCTCTCTCTCCCTCTGTCCTCCCTCTTATGACTTGGGTCTAGTCTTCATTCTAACGCTACAGCATAATAAGCATGGATACTGCCACTGTCGTTATCTTATAGCACTGGTAACCCAAGCACCTCTTCACAGCAGATGCATTAGTACTGTTGTTACATTCAGATTTGTTGAAAATGAAAGATGCATACCAACGAGTCAGAGGAGGGCCTCAGGCTTCCCAGAGACAGGTGGCTACATTAATTTTCCTCTGGATGATAGCCGAGAAATGTGAGGGTGGGGACAGAAGAGGGTGTGATGGGTTCGAGCAGGATAGAGTAAAGAGCTGTACTTCTAGGCAAGAAGTACTACCTCAAGTGGTCCTTAGAATATCTTTCCAGAAGAATGAGACGCAGTCTGCCTACCATTATCACAAATATTTTACACTTCTGTTTTAATAACTGCAGTGGGAATGTATGTGTATGCACATGTGTGCGTGCGTGCGTGCGTGTATGCACTTGTTTTATTCAAAACTGTGAGTATCTGTTTACTGCAACCTTGAAATCCCGAGTCGCTCGAACAGGGTGAGTGTGTATACACGTGTGTGCCTGTGTGTACATGCACATACATGCTGGAAGTAGAGGCCAGGCTTCTGGGGGGCAGCCTGTGGTAGGGTTGACAAACATGTTGACATGTTCTCTGCCCCTAGTAGGTGAGGGAGCCTGGGGCCCTCACCCACCAGCGCAGAGTTCTCGTAAAGCCAAGACTGACTGTGCAGTATTGCTTAGATAGCACATTAGTGGCCTTGGACATTTCTCAACTTGTAACATTTTTAACAGCCTTTCATGTGATTCACCTGTTTCAAAAAGGATCAAGAAAGGAGAAGAATGTATTTTATTGTGCTTTTTTTTCTTTCTTTCTTTCTTTTTTTAAAGGCTCCATATGGAGGCTGTCTGTGTCCTCCTGGCCAGCAGTTCAGGACTTCCAAGAAAAACGGGCTGGTTGGCCCGCGGAGTCCTGTCTCCTCTAGCCAGAGTGCAGGGCTCTGCCCCCGGGACTGCCCATGGAGTGGGCACGCCACCGCGGGCCAGCAAGCCACTATTGTGGTGCCCTGTGGCCTGGCTGCACCCTGCCTGGCAGGCTGCCATTCGCTTCGTCTTAACATCACCCTGTGCACATAACTGCTCGCCTCATTCTGCACTGAAGTGGCAACACACAGATCCCAGACCATGTTGGCCAGCACACCCCCACCCCACGGCTTGCGTATTGAGACACACCTTCTCAATGTTGCTCTCGCGTGCCTTGCCCATGTAAATTTGAATGTCGATATTTAATGAGGTTACATATTTAATGCAGAATGTTCCCTAGGCCTTCTTTGTTATGCCTTTAGGTATTCTCTCTCTCTCTCTCTCTCTCTCCCTCTGTCCTCCCTCTTATGACTTGGGTCTAGTCTTCATTCTAACGCTACAGCATAATAAGCATGGATACTGCCACTGTCGTTATCTTATAGCACTGGTAACCCAAGCACCTCTTCACAGCAGATGCATTAGTACTGTTGTTACATTCAGATTTGTTGAAAATGAAAGATGCATACCAACGAGTCAGAGGAGGGCCTCAGGCTTCCCAGAGACAGGTGGCTACATTAATTTTCCTCTGGATGATAGCCGAGAAATGTGAGGGTGGGGACAGAAGAGGGTGTGATGGGTTCGAGCAGGATAGAGTAAAGAGCTGTACTTCTAGGCAAGAAGTACTACCTCAAGTGGTCCTTAGAATATCTTTCCAGAAGAATGAGACGCAGTCTGCCTACCATTATCACAAATATTTTACACTTCTGTTTTAATAACTGCAGTGGGAATTTTGAATTCATTTATCAATTGGAAAGAAAGCCTACCCTTTGTATACACACACACACACACACATATATATATATACTCATAGACACATATATAGATACACACGCACACGTTTTATATATATGGGGTTTGCTTTGTGACTAGTATAGCACTTTAAGTTTTCTCAAGTAACATCAAATTATTGTCTTCAATATCGATTGAATTTATTTTCTTTTCTATCAAAGTCTATACTATAGATTCTTCCATTTACATTGGGAGTTTAAACAGTTTAGTCCCTATTGGAACATTTCCTTAAGCCACGCAAGCATGAACAATCTCTCTGCACATCCGGGTGCTAGAGAAAGGGGACAGTGGCTAGCGTGGCCAAGAGCCAGACCGAATGTATGCAGAGTGCCTTGTTAGCCTGGTAGTCTAGTCTGGGGGAGAGAGCCAGAGCATGTCCACCGATGACTGGGACCACAGGAGGCACCCGTGCTGCCTGGCCGAGGAGAGCCCTTCTGGTATTCGTTCCTAATGTGATGCCCAGAAGCCGAATCACGACCAATAGCAGCAAGACGAGAATAAGAACTTCTGGAACCTGAGGAGCACTGCCATCAGAACCGCAGCACGGGCAGGGCCTGCCAGGCCCGAGGCTCAGTCAGGATTGGGAGCCAAGAGTGTGGCAGTGACTTTCAAGATTGGCCCTGAGGAGACAGGCTTGCTGAGGAGGAGAGGGGCATGCCAGCGCCGTGCAGCCTGGCCTACCGATGCCAAGGGGCTGAAAGGAGAACGTCTTCCAGGCCGGGAGAGTCAGGTGCCCTTTCGTGTCACAGTAAGTGGAGGCCATTTTAGCTTCTGTATTCAGAGAGGTTTGTGTGTGTGAAAACTCAGCCTAGAGAGCTAAATGTCCAGAAATAGTGATGACACTTCTGGGAATAAAGGCCTTAGAGTTGTGGTTGAAATTTTCCAGTACTATAAAATGTCCAGGGAAGGTTTGGGGAGCCCGCTAAAGAGCGGGGCACAGAAGGACTACACCCAGCCTCCCAGATGTGGGTTATGAGTACTTTCGTGCCTGGGAGTACCTGACCTTTGTTTTTACTAGAAACTGGTAATTAGAATTTTTCCTGGATTTTGCCAGCAGTGATCTGAACAAATCAAGGTCAGTCCCAGAAATTGGGGTGGCTTTAGGATACTGCACTGTTAGAGGATTCCGGCTGTGCACCTCAAGTGGAAACGTACTTGGAGAGGGGGCAAGAGGACCCTTGACCCCCAGGGCCGTTCCCCTCGCTAGTTGGTAAGGATGGAGAATTCTGGCCCAGCCTAATGGGTGAACAGTGGCTGCCCACAAAGCCAGGTTATTAGTTTTACCTCACTGAAGCTCACATCCTCAGAGGCCCAAAGTGCTGTGTGCCGAGGCGGAGCCAGCGCTGCTCTTGCTGAAGGCCAACTGTCCGAGTGTGCAGTGGCACTGAAAGTGGGGATTCCACAGACCAAAACTACCACCATAAGGGGAACCAGAGAGTCACGCTGCAAGATCCCAGGAGAGATGATACCAAAGAAATTGAGCCTTTTTATCCTGATGCTTGCAAGATGATGAGGTTGAGCTGTGACCGATGTCATGGAGGGGAATTCACGTACATTCCATGTCAGGTTATTCAGCTGGTAAGTCCATCCTCCAAAAAGCACCTATTTTTAAAGTCCCTTTTGCACATAAGAAGAAAAACAAAAAAGTGATGATGAAGAAAGCCTTGGGCAGATAGAAGTTCATGGTATTTCAGGAGAAGGCGTGGTTCTATCTCCCCAGACACGACTGGCTGTCGCCCAGCCTCAGCTTAGGAGTATCAAAACCATGTGATACTGAAAGCTGAGGATTTTTTTTTTTTAAGATAAGGTAGTTTCAATAGATTTATTTAAAGAACTCTGGAAATTTCTTAACATATTGTAATTGTTTTTATAAACCTTCCTGTAGCGGTGTTGACCATCTACCACCGCCATCACCTACTGTTTATAAGTGCCCAGAATGTACAAGGTGCTATACAGCTCTTCACCTCCCGTCCCTGCAGCTGTTGGAAATGAGAAGAGGTTTCCATATCAGCCACTGCTAGAAGCTTTCTGTGCCTCGGTGAGCTGCAGGCCCTGTGTTCCGAACATCCCATGACGTGC